ACACACACCACACCACACACACACACCCTCCGCCATTTTGCACCTTAGCCTTAGCCACCTACCCCTCCCCCAAACCACCAAAACCCTCCCCAAACCGTCAAACCCCCCGCCCAACAATCCCCCCTCCAAAAACCCATCCCCCCCCTCCCCCTAACCATCCATCCCCTCCCCCCAAAACATTAACTCCCCCCCCCAAAACCCATTAACTCCCTCCCCCAAATTTTCTCTGCCCCCTCCAATAACCCACCTCCCCCTCCCCACAACCATCCTTTCCCTTCCAAACCGTCTTTTCCCCCTCCCCTAACAGGATGAGGACCAAGGGGCTCCAAGGACGAATCTGAGAGGGGGGGAATGGGAGATAGGCTCAAAAAAGGGAGGAAGAGGGGGAAGGAGACAAATTGAGTGGAAAGGAAGAGGGGAAAAAAGAGGTTAGCAGCGGAATGAGAAGGTAAAAAGAACAGGCCAGCAGCAGAAATAAAAGGTAGGAGATTGAAGAGGAGCTGAGAATTGAACAGCCAGGACAAAGATATTACGAGAGCTCGGCAATGGCTACATCGAACACAGAAAACAGGTCCAAAGGAAAGCATGGAAACTAAAACTGTATGCGAGGTTGTCAAACCCCAAAGGGGGGCCAAAACAAAGAAGGGGGGGTATCTAGGACAAAAAGAGAGGTTGGAAGAAGATGGAACTAGGACATGTGAAAGGGACTTACCAGTACCTGTGGGGGCCAGGAGCAGGGAGCAGGGGGATAAAAAAGAAGCATGGGGGCCCATAAGAGGGAAGGGACTAAAGGGAAAGGAACATCCAGGGAAGGAACTAAAAAAATCAGGGATGCAAGGGATACGTGGGAGGTGGAAAGGGAGGACCCGTGTTTGTTATGGGCTGACAAAGAAAAGGGGGAAAAAATTATGATGAAAAAAAGAGGAGGAGAAAAAAGCGATTAAAGACATCATAAAGGTGTAGGGCGAGGGGGACATGCCCCAGGGGGAAATTTTCGGAAAATTGGGGGGTTCCAAAGAAAAGGAAAATCGGCCTTCAAAGAATTTTCAAGGCAGAATCAACCCAAACCATGATCCTGCAGGGAAAGCAGGGTGAGAGGCAGCGGATTTCCCGGAGTGTGTCCCTCGACCGGACAGAAAAAGGAAACGAAAGGAAGACAAGAAAGAGAGGTTCAAAAACAAAAGGGGAGAAATGGGAGGAAATGAAAAAGGGAGCAGAATAACCCAGGTAAAATGGAAGGAAAACGCCCCCCCCAGAAACACCTGCAGAAGGATCCAGCCGGGCCCCCCCAAGGCAATAAACATTAAAAACCCAAACCATCACAACCGATCCCTCTGTTTCCACCCCCGCACACGTTAAGTATTAGAACAGAAGTTAAAGGGTTTTTGGTACACAAATGCAGAGGGGAAATTAACGAAAAACATGAGGAATGGCAAGAAAGAATCAATGGAAGTCCCCAGCATCATAGCGTTACAGAAAAAAAAAACTCATGGAGACAAAAAACAGACGAAATTTTTCCCCCAGGATACCAGATCATGAGGAAAGATAAAGGGGGGTAGGGGGGGGGGTGGGGTTGTTGCTGTAAAAAAACAGTGGGGAAAATTTGAGAAAATGGAAAGGATGTGAGAAGGAGAAAGGATAAATAGCAGGTCACTTCAGTCTGGGGAACACAAAATGGTATTGAGTATTATAATCCCCACGAATGCAGGAGGCCCAAAAAGAGGAATAGAAGAGAGCAACAGAGCTATGGGGACACCTTTCTGAGGTGGCAAGAAGGCTCCTCCAGCAGAGCAAAATTGTGGTTATGGGGGATTTTTTAACCACAGGGGTTATGGGAAAAAAATGGGGCCACATGGGGGGGCCCGAAACATGGAGGCCAGGTGTTGGCGTGGTGCTGGAAAACCTCATGCACCAAAATGTTAAGGACCTCCGAGTGAGAGGGGGGTGAACCCCAAGTTTTGGGCCTCGTGTTCACCCCGGGCAGCCGACTTGAGGACTCAAGTTGAGGGTCCCCTAGGAGTAGCGCCACGTGGTTTTTGTGCTTTGAAAACTAGTAGGTGCAAATGGGGGAATAACGGTGTTTTGAATGGGAAAAGCCTGACTATAAAAGAGGGGATAAAAAGGGGTTTAAGAAAATTCATGCGGGAGGGCAGTGGGACAGAGAACTGGGGAAAGCCCCTAAATGAAATGATGGAATTGTGCAACAAATGCAAGGAGGCAGTGGAAAGGTTATTCCCAGGGCAAACAGTAACAACGGGAAGAAAAAACAGCCCCCGGTTTTCCCCGACGGTTTTAAAGGGGGCAAAAAAAAAAGTGCAATAGAGATGGAAAAAGTCAGAAGGGAGAGAACACACGAAAATAGGGGGGTCAGTGCAGAGCCAGGGAAAGAGTAGCACGGTAAGGGGGAGGCCAGCGACAGTAGAAAATGACCCTAGCACGGAATAAGACTGACCGAAAGTTGTATAGCCACTCAGGGGGGAAGACAACAGTCAAAGACCAGGTGATAGTTAAGGCAGAAGGTGGGAACTCCAAAAAATGATAGGGGGTATGGAGGAGCTGAAAGGAGATTTAAAGGAAGTTTTTACGTAGAGACGGAAGGGCTGTGGGAAGACAGACAGAAGGGGGAAAATCAAGAGGGAATTTTACCAAACAAGGTTGGATGACATAGAACAAATAGGGGGGTTGAAGAAGCTCTTAAGTGACCTTTTACCTCAAAGGCGATGGGACGGCAACATCTCCCCATGGGTCCTTGGAAAGGGGAGAGATGCTGTGTGTGCCTTAACCCAATCTTCAACCATCCCCTTTTAAAATGGGAACTCCTGGGAAAAAAGGGAAAACGCTAATGTGTCCCCCTATTTTTAAGAAAGGAAAAAAGAAACGGGACTAACTACGACCTGTGTTCTGACATGTTTTGTGTGCAAAGTCATGGAGAAGTTATCAGGGGAGAGGGTCGAACACCCTGGAAAAGGAAAAAAATTATAAAAGAAAACCAGCATGGGTTCAGGGGGGCAAATCTTGTATCACAAAACCTCCTGGGTTTAGACAAGGTAAAAGGTAAGACCGGAGAAAGGGGGGTTGGGTTGATTGCGTTTTCCCAGACTGCAGGAAGGCCCTTTTCACGTTCCCCACAAGGATTAGTGCGAAGTGGAGGATCAGGCACAGTAAAGGAAAGGGGACTGAATGGATAAGGGAATACCTGACAGGGAGGGAGCAACGGTCATGGTAGTGAAGAGGTTCAAAAGTGGGCGCCTGTTACGAGGGGGGGGCCACAGGGGTCAGTTTAGGACCAGTGCTTTTTTTATATATGTGAAGAATGATGGAAGGAAAAAGACTCTGAAGTGTCCCCCGTTCGCAGATGAGGGAAGTTGATGGAAGAATTAATTTGGACGAGGTGAGGCAGGCTGCAAAAGAGATGGAGAGGCCCGGAAATGTGGGCCAAATAAAATGGCTCCTCGAATTTAATCCGCCAAATGCAAAGTCATGAAAAATTGGGGGGGGCAAAGAAACCGCAGACAGAATATGGCTGGTGGAAAAGATACAGACCTACTAGGGGGAAAAACCCTTGGGGTGACCATAACACCGGGTAATCAACCGGAGGCCAAATCAACCAAATAACCTGCAGTTACGGGCGCCCCCCCCGGCAAAACCCGAGAATAGCGTTCGATACCTCAATAGGATTCGTTCAAGACACTTAAATGTGTATGTTGGCCATATGGAGTATGCAGCCCGTCTGAACCACACCTGGGGGTCAAAACACGTCAAAGGGTTAGGAAAAGTACAAAGGTTTAAAAAAAGGCTAGTCCCAGAGTCAACGGAATGTCGTCGAGGAAAAGGGTTTAAGGGAAAATCGGGGCTGAGACATGGGGACAGAAGGGTCAGGGGAGACATGAAACGACATACAAGATACTGCGGGGGGTGACAAGGTGGACAGAGATAGGATGTTAGGAGGGGAACAGGGACAAAAGGTCACAACTGGAAGCTGAAGATAAGACGAGTCACCAGGGGGAGGGGTGGACGTTAGGATGTATTTCTTAGTCATAGAGTGTCAGGCAACGTGGAATAGCTAGCAAAGTGATGTAGTGGAGGCAGGAACCATACATTGTTTTAAGATGAGGTATGACAAAGCTCGGAGAGCAGAGAGAGAGTGGTTCCAGTAGCATCATTGAAGAGGGGGCCAGGAGCTGAGTCTCGACCCCTGCAACCACAATTTGGTGAGGTCTGAGTACTGTGTACTCACTTTTATCCATCCCTTCAATACTTCTCTACACATGTACTTACTGTTATTCATCCTTTCACTATTACCCCTACACTTCATATCACTCTTTTATTTCATCTTTCAATACCACCCTACACAGATACTCACTGTTATCCACTGCTGCACTACTTCCAGTATACAGCATACACACTGTGATCCATCAATCACTATTACCCTACACAGCGTACTATCCGCGTATAATCCTTCACTACTACTCCTAAACCTGTGAATCATGTCTATCCTCCATTCAAATGGACCCCTGCACAAGTGTACTCACTTGTTATCATCTTCATTATTACTCTACACGGCGTATTCAGTTATCCATTCCTTCACTACTATCTCCTACCACAGAGTACTCACTGTTATCATCACTTCATACTACACATACACAGTGTACTAACTGTACTATCCATCCTTCCACTACTACCCCTATGCAGTGTGTTCACTGTCATCCATCCTTCATACTACCACTACTCAGTGTGTTCACTGTTATCCATCTTTTACTACATACCATCTCACCCAACAGTAGTGTATGTTAATCACATCTTCTGTTCTGCCCCAACACAGTGTACTCATGTTATCATACTTCATACGCCACTACAGAGAAGCTCTCGTTTTTTTTTTTCTTTATTTACTCCTTGAAATCCTTCTAAAATTATGTCACTGACAACAAGAGGTAAAGCACTAAAGCGACAGAATTTGACCTAAAATTTTTCAATAATTTTCTCAAGTAAAAAAAACTTACCATTATGTTGGTAGTGGATGTTTCAGCAGGTTTACGTTTGGTGCGTTGTAGTTCCTCAGCCACCACAACACAGTGTGTCGGACCTTGCAGCCTTGCTCTCTCCAAATAGGTGTTTGTACCAGTACATTTTTGGACATCAGGGTTGAAGCAAAATCTTGAGCAGGCATGAGCTGCCATCAAACCTGTGATAAATATTATTTATTAATGGGGGTTAATTTAGTATACCGTGGCATCACAGTACGGCCGATTTTCATGGTAATCTTACTTCAATAATCGTCTTAAAGGTGTTTCTCGTGTGTTATATGGAAAACCATATTTATATAATTACAACATAAATTATATTTAAAAAAATGGGGAATTAAAAGTGTAGATAGAAGAAGAGAGAAAAATGTCCTTAAGTGGTAGAAAATAATTTTAATAAACAACCTTGGAAATTTTCTTAATGTTACACTTACATTGTAAATATGGCGTCACACAGAACCTTGCTGCAATGTTTATTTGTGTGATGTTGGTGAGTGAGATAACAGAGTAGGTAGTGTTTAACTTTGTATAAGCTGGTGCTGAGCTGTAGAGTTTTACTAACATCATGGAGCACTATGAGGTGATACTATGTGTACTAATATACCACCAAACTTAATGAAGACACTGAGATGGGAATTATTGTATTGGATGATGTCAAGTTGTGATCATTCTTGTAAGATCACTGGTATCACACACAGCTCACACCTTCTGTCTCACTATTCTCACTCTCCCATTTTTTTGTTGTGAAATAAACAACTTATTGTATCCGATCTTTCCTAAATATGTTTAAAATGGTATTATTATTTTAAACTAATTTTTTCCTCTCTGATTAATATGTATTATGGAGAAGTTTATAATCAAAAGAAAAATACGCAGATAACCCGCACAAAGGAGACTGGAACTTATGACGACATTTTGGTCTGACTTGAACCATTAACTAGACACACAGAAGAGTGAAGGTGAGGGAGCAATAATCATATACAAGAGTGAGACGAAGTCAAGAGTAGTGGAACCAGAAGAGGAAGTAGTATAATAGTAGTAGTAATAATAGTTGTAGAGGTGGGAGTAGTGGGGACAAGTAGAGCAACATTGACACAGAGAGCAATAAGAAGGTAGTTGTGTGAGTAAAACAATGATAATAGTAGTAGTGTTAGGTCGAGGAAGTCTTAAAACAAGAGAATAAACGAGAAAAAAGGAGCACTGCAAGAAAGCAGAATTGGAAATAGTGCAACAATGGTAGAGGTGGCAATAAGAAGATAGTGTTAGTGAAACAAGAACAAGAGACAACAAGAGAGGAATAAAGGAGCATCACAGTAGAGATAATGACCGACGAAGGTAGGACAAAAAACTAAGTGAAAAAAAACTCAGGGAAAAGAAAGGAAACGCAAAGCAAATATAGTAAAACGGAAGAAGTTAAGAGAGGAGGAGATAATGATCAGGTAAAGTTACGAGTGTTCTGAATTTCTGAACATTAACAATGTAATGAAAAAGGAAGACATCTACAGAGGTAAAGTTCCCTTTTATACATATAGTGGCTCCCTTCTCTCCACGCTTTTGTGTGACTAGTTAATAGTCCATGACGAACTATTAACTATAGTTCAGGTAACGGTGTTGTACCTATTTATAATTAAAAAAAATTTTTAATAAATTAAATTAGTGTTATATGTGACTATTACTGTGCCATACATGTTACACCTGACAGGTACTCGTCTTCTGGTATCATTGTGTCATGTTACACCTGACAGGTACTCGTCTTCTGGTATCATTGTGTCATGTTACACCTGACAGGTACTCGTCTTCTGGTATCATTGTGTCATGTTACACCTGACAGGTACTCGTCTTCTGGTATCATTGTGTCATGTTACACCTGACAGGTACTCGTCTTCTGGTATCATTGTGTCATGTTACACCTGACAGGTACTACGTCATTCTGGTATCATTGTGTCATGTACACCCTGGCAGGTACACGTCACTGGGTATCAATGGTGGTCCACGATTACACCTGACAGGTACTCGTCTTCTGTTATCATTGTGTTCATAGTTACCCTGACAGGTACTCGTCTTCTGGTATCATTGTGTCATGTTACACCTGACAGGTACTCGTCTTCTGGTATCATTGTGTCATGTTACACCTGACAGGTACTCGTCTTCTGGTATCATTGTGTCATGTTACACCTGACAGGTACTCGTCTACTGTATCATTGTGCATGTACACCTGACAGTAAAAATCGTCTTCTGTATCATTGTGTCATGTTACAACCTACAGTACTTCGTCTCTGTATCATTGTGTCATGTTACACCTGACAGGTACTCGTCTTCTGTATCATTGTGTCCCATGTTACACCTGACAGGTACTCTCTTCTGGATCATTGGTCATGTTACACCTGACAGGTACTACCGTCTTCTGGTATCATTGTGTCATGTTAACACACTGACAGTACTGCTCGTCTTCTGGTATCATTGTGTCATTTACACCTTATCAGGTACTCTCATCTGGTATCATTTGTGTCAAAAGGTTACACCTGACAGGTACTCGTCTTCTGTATCATTGTGTCATGTTACACCCGACAGGTACTCGTCTTCGGTATCATTGTGTCATGTTCAACAACCTACAGGTACTCGTCTTCTGGTATCATTGTGTGAAACAAAAAACATTGTTAACCTGACAGTTCTCCGACTTCTGTATCATTTGGTCCAGTTACACCTGACAGGTCTCGTCTTCTGGTATCATTGTGTCTGTTACACCTGACAGTACTCGTCTTCTGGTATCATTGTGTCATGTTACACCTGACAGGTACTCGTCTTCTGGTATCATTGTGTCATGTTACACCTGACAGGTACTCGTCTTCTGGTATCATTGTGTCATGTTACACCTGACAGGTACTCGTCTTCTGGTATCATTGTGTCATTTAACAACACCTGTACAGTACCGTCTTCTGGTATCATTGTGTCATGTTTTTACACCAACAGGTACTCGTCTTTCTGGTACATTGTGTCATGTTACACCTGACAGGTACTCGTCTTCTGGTATCATTGTGTCATGTTACACCTGACAGGTACTCGTCTTCTGGTATCATTGTGTCATGTTACACCTGACAGGTACTCGTCTTCTGGTATCATTGTGTCATGTTACACCTGACAGGTATCGGGTCTTCTGTATCATTGGGTCATTTACACCTACAGGTACTCCGTCATCTGTATCCATTGTGTCCATGTTTACACCGTGACAGGTACTCGTCTTCTGGTATCATTGTGTCAGTAACCCCTGACAGGTTACACGTACTTCTGGTATCAGTTGTCCATGTTACACCTGACAGGTGCTCGTCTTCTGGTATCATTGTGTCATGTTACACCTGACAGGTACTCGTCTTCTGGTATCATTGTGTCATGTTACACCTGACAGGTACTCGTCTTCTGGTATCATTGTGTCATGTTACACCTGACAGGTGCTCGTCTTCTGGTATCATTGAGACTAATATGTAACATAAATTATTATCAATGTAAGGTAATATTCCTAAATGTACTGGATCAGGAACTACATCAGTTTGGTAGACAACAACAACAACAACAACAACAACAACAACAACAACAACAACAACAACCACCCACACAGGTTCTAACATTTTTCCAAATGACTGTGAAAACTGTTATTGTTTTACACAATGCAGGATTCATGGTAGATGAATGGTTCAGAGATAACCGACATGGTTGCATTAAATTAGACACATGTGCAACTCTTGGGTATCTTTATTGAGGAAACGTTTCGCCACACAGTGGCTTCATCAGTCCAAACAAAGGAGAATCGTGAAGAGCAGGGGTAGAATGAGGTAATCAGTCCCTCAACCTTGAGTCGATGTGGTCACTCCATCAATCTTGAATATAATACAGCATATGAGGGTAGAAGTGGCTTATATACAGCAAACAAGAGAGATGCAGCAGTCGTAGGTGGTGCTCTTCACGATTCTCCTTTGTATGGACTGATGAAGCCACTGTGTGGCGAAACGTTTCCTCAATAAAGATACCCAAGAGTTGCACATGTGTCTAATTTATCAGGATTCTTGGTGCCATTTCTTTGTATCATAAACTATAAAGTAACATGTACGTCTTGGCACTCTTATTACTTCTAGTCATTCTAACACTTGTAATATGGTGCATGTTCATGTCTGTGTATACACACTGAACAGTGGTTCCTTTATTTTTTTAATTCTCTTCTTATGGTCTATCTTATCAACTCCATGGGAAAGTGTGTTAGAATGCTTCCCCATAAGAAGTGAATGTTATAACGGGTGACACAATGCTGGGAACAAGGCTAGCAACCCTTAGCTTGCATAAATACTAATGGAAAATCATCAAATTTAAACGGAGGATGTTTGAATGTGTGAGAGGTGATATGGAAGCTTAAGAAGGAAAATGATTGGAATGCAAGAATTAAAAGAAGCTGGATGTCTTGCATCTATTAGAAATAAATTTAAAGGGGCAATTGGTAAGATATAATTTCAGTATGGAGATATAGAACTGGGATTAGTTCATGTGTTTCTGAGAGAATGATGACCTAAAGACAGGAAGAACAAAAACATTAAAAATTAAATTATGGAAAGAAAAAAGGGCAATGAAAGAACATAAATTTAAAATTGATGTGGATAAAAATAAGGGTGGGAGGTGCAAGTGGTTAATAGTAAGTGTAATGTGCCTAGGAAAGAAAAGAGTGGAAGAAAGACATAGAGTTATAGAAGGCTAGTCGAGAATTTAGGAAGTTTTGAACCGAGAGAGAAAATATAGTTGTGGTGACAACAAGCTATATGTGAGAAACTCTTGCAGAAAGTGTAGTAGGAAAGTGTTTTGAGTGACCAGGAGTAAATCCTAATGGGAATCTCTAATTAATATATGCATGGAAAGAGGTTTGTAACAAATAAATAATACATAAATATATATAAATTATAATATATATATATATATATATATATATAATAAATAATAATAGTATAGATATATATATATATATATATATATAACTATATATATATTTAAATAAAGGGATGGGTAGTTATGGGTTAGTAGATAAAATGATGATGTGTAGACTTAGGGATATGTATATTTTTAGAAAACCGACAGACATATCACTTCATCTTTTAGTGTGAAAGTAAAATATAGATAGATTACA